TTCTGTTCCACTTGCTCAGAAACATCTGGCTCAAGTCCCTGTTTCAAAGTACTACGTTGCAGGAAGGAATCTCCACAGTTTTTAAGTATTATTCCCCTGTAAGCAACTGCTGTCACTGCTGTGAGACTCCATGGAAAAAATAAAACTGAATTAAAAAACCCAAACCATAAACAGAATAGAAGCAGTTATTTATCAAAATACATTACATGGCTTCGAAGCAACTATAAATCACCTTTTTTTTTTTTGCTGAAATGTCTACTGATTCCTTCTTTTACCTGTATTTTAGAAATGCTTCAGGAATCTTGGTGTTTGTCACTTGCATCAGTAGAACAAGCACCTTCAGGGCACTAACCTCTTCTTCAAAGGGTTTTCTCAGTTCCTTCTGATTAACTTTTAAGATTTATATTCTTTCACCAGAAATAGGTGGCGGTCAAACTCCTCAGATCTTTGATAGGAATCTGGAGTGCTGTCATAGTTTACAGCAGTCATTAAGGGGGAAAGGGCTGTCTCTTTAAGCTATACAAATCACAAGAGATGCTTTCCCTCATTCACCCTGCCAAAAGTTTATTAATTAAAAAAAATCCTTAAGTTCAAAGGACAATCGCTATTCCTCCTCCTTCACAGGAACTGAAGACATACTATGGCCTAAAATAAGTTCTTTCAAAAGGAGAACCACTGACTTCAAGACCATGTAGACAAGTTCAGATTTAAATCCAAATCCTAGTTTTAAAATTCAAGTGGTTAAATTCACCCATGATACTGTGAGGCATTCACTGCAACACATAACAACCACCAGACACCTCAATCGCATTTTTGTAATCCCATCAAAATCTGAATTTTGTCTTTGTTATTTTAATGTAGGTAGCTCAGATGCCTATAAAGCAATTACCCTTACAGACAACTTATAATGTGTACCAGCAGCCTGACACAGAAACATCTACATGGTATGTGACAGATAAAAGAGCAAATCCTATCCCTTTTCATTCTGGGTGGTTTTCTTAGCCCTATCCAGAAGCCTTATCAAATTGATGTCTTTTACGGCATGCCTTGAAGCTACTTTGTACAAAGAGGGGGTGGAAAGAGGAAGAGGAAATTCCAGACCTTAAGCATGCGCCACCTTTTCAGATTATAATTCCTTGTCAGTTGACTAGTAGAGCAAAATCAGAGCCAGAAGTCACTTATCAAAAGTTCTGCTCTCTATCTACCTTGCAGACAAGCTCTGTTAACCCTAAAATAAATGACAACGTATGCTAAAAAACTTGGTATCAAAGATCACCACTGTAAAATATGAATGGGCCGGTGTAATCTCCATAGGAATTCTTCTTTTTCCTTGCCAAACTGATAACACTGAAAGTGTTAGTGCCTTTGAATAGCAAAATTAACATTTTACAGTGCAGTCACTGATGCTGTATGCTTAGATGCATGAGGCTTGGCACTGTGACAAGTACTGCGAGCTTCGCCAGAGCCCCTGCCTGATGAAAATGACTTAAAAAAGAACTCATAGTTTGAGAATGATGCTCACTACCAACTTGTTGGTGATCCACCAACAGTCACCAACAGCCACCGTGTTGGTATTCTTGTGAACTGCTCAAGTCAACTTGACCTGCTGAGTAGCAACTACACTGCCCTCACCATAATGGTACTTGGACAGTACCACAGTAGGACTTCCACTGGAGTCGTAATTTCCACCTCTATCCTAGAAGTGAATAGAATAAAGCTCACTTCATCATAAATTATAAATCTATTATAAAATTAGATGTTAAAAAGCCTAATCAAATACTGCAAATGGGAGTGAAGCAAATGGAAGTAAAATACGGAAAACTTTGGTTGCTAGATTTACTGAAAAGTATTTTTATGATTAAATGTGAATCATAAGGCTTGGAGAAGCCCTATTTCTATTTGCATTCAAGGCAAAACTAATTCCCTTTTAGAAGTGAAGTTCTGAGGCATGCATTTCTTGCAATTCTGTGTGCCTTAGGAACATGGACTTCAATGTTATATATAATAATGAAATATTATTTCTGTAGCCGTGCTTCAAGGCATAAAACTAAGGAAATAGCATAACAGAAATCTTAAAAAAAAACCCTTAAAAGCATTTTGCATATATATAGAAAAATATAGCTGAATTGCTTAGTGCTACAGCGAGAAAGAAATCAACTACTTCTAGAGATGCACTTTTAGTCATTGTTTCCCTGTTCTGGAGCTCATCAGTTACTTGTTAAAATACATTGTAGTGGTAAAATATAATATAGGCTTAGTAAAAGACTAAGTGAAGGGTTCAGACTTCTGTGTCAATACAGGACTCCGTATTTGCTTTAAGAATTTGACTGAAATCACAATAAAAATACAGCATCTGTACTTCACATAGGAAATACTTCTGCTCCCCAAAGGTAGGAGTTCACATAAAGGAAAGTAGTTATTCCAAGAATCTGTAATGCTGGTGTCATGAGCAGGAAGAACACTGAAATGAAACTGATATTCCCTCTCCTCTTTGGAATCTTCTACAGTTAGAATCCTACACTATAAAGCTGAACTATCAGGGTTGACAGTTCCTAGTCCATGAACACAGATTAGGCCCATTCACTGAGCTCAGAAGCAGTCTTCCTGAGACAGAGAGCACTGCAGGGCATGCACTATGCACTCCAATGTCTGCTAGATCAAGCACGGGCAGAGCTGACCTAGAAGTAATCATATTGTCAGATCCAGGGCAGCTCTCTGCTGAAACACCAGGCTAACTATCCACCTCACTTCATCGACACATGCCTGACACCTGGGTATCTCAATTAGCCCTGGTGTTTCACACTCCACCTTTTAATACCCTAGATAACCCTGTACAGTGCAGAACACACACATCAATCACAGTGCTCGAGGCCTGAAAAATGCTGAGTATAGAAGAGGATATGTCCTCTTCTTAGCAGTGCTACCAACCCTAAGGCCCGAGTGTCTCCAAGCACACTGCTTACAGCTCTTTCTGCTGCATGCCATGTTGCATTCAGTGCAGCAGTTCCACTGTGCAGACACTTGGCAGAGATGACTGCCCCTTTCCTAACACAGATATGCAGCTTCTGGGGTTACCACCAATAACTCTTTTACTCTTTCTTTAGCATGTAGTCTGGCATGAAGACACCACAGCCTATTGCTGAGATACTGATGGGGGGAAACCCCACAGCAAACCCCATGAAACCCCTCAAAAATCCAAACTCAAAACGAAACTAAAAAGCTAAACTCCTCACTTTGTCCTTTGCTGAATTTAACAAATCGGAGTTGTAACTTCTGAGGCCACGATTTGCAACACAGCCCTCTGTTTACAACATGTAACCAAAATAACTCTATTTGGCCTAGCAGAATGCACATTTATTAAACCCTACAGTTAACAGAGCATGGGGCACTGACCCATGTTTTAACATGCAAATAGGTGGGGAGAGGAGGGAAGAAGAGTAAGAGGAGGAAAAAGAAGGAAAAATGTGAACAAATCTCAATGGAAAATACATGTTTTCTAGAGTTGTTCCTCCCCCCACCCCATACTAGGTCTCCTGGATACTCTAATAAATGGATTTCAATGATAATTTACTACATTACCAACTACAAATTGGCCTTACACATTACAGTGTCTCACATCAATCCCTCCTATGAAGACATTAGTACAGACAAATGGCTCAGGAGGTAATTTATTCACACTGGGAAACAAATTATCCAGTAACAATATCTGCAGAGCAAAGCTGTTAGAGTGTAAATATCTGCCGTGTTAAACAAGCTCTTAAAAAAAGAACCTTGTTGAATCATGACTTAGGCTGTGATTGTGTTCCTTAAAAGTACCATTTTATTATCAAAATTAGAAATATCTCACTCTAGATCACTAATATCTACACATCATTTTATATCTAGAGTAGCACTGTTAACCTAAATGAGATTACAAGAATGTGTTTAGTTATTATTTTGAATAGTATTACAAAAGACTAGTCTAACACCCTGAGCACAAGAGCTGGTTGTTTTGCAAACATAAGGTATCACTTTTGATGTATAAACATTGTGGTGACTAACAAAGCAGAGCATCTCAGAATTCTTGGGTTTATGAGAACTTCAGCTCTCAAGCTGTTTTCCTAACAACTACAGATGTTAGGAACACCAAGCGTTTCTGGTGGAAAAAGGAGAGCAGGTTAAGGACAAGGTCTTTCCTGTTACAGTAAATGTGTCAAAATAGAGTCCTGTTACCAAATAAAATACTTCTAAGCCTATACTTTCCCAGAACTCCATAATAACTAATACCCACTGAACAGAGAAAAGGACAGAAGGACAATCAGTCCTTAGAAAAAGGCATGAGGATGACATCATTGGCTGTCTGCTAGCCAGGAGAGGAAGAGAGGGATTATCTGAATCGTGAACATCTGGATGGTGTATATAAAGGCAATGAAGGATTTTTAGACAAATTAGTTCACTAAGTTCCATTGAATTTTTATCTTATAGAGAAACAGTAGTGCTATGATACGCTTCTATAATGAAAAAGCAACAGGAATGCTAGTGGTTTGGGTTAATGAATTAAAAGATACACAAAGAGATTTATCATTCACTGTCTCTTTTTTTAATTGAAAAAAATTGTCAGATACTTGAAGTTATAACTCTCCCTTTCAAGTTAAAACAATGTACTTTGCTAACACTGCTTTTCTTCTTTCTATTATTTGGGGTTTAGGTACAAAGATCGTAATTGATATGATTCTGATCAGACTGAAGTTCAAAACATGTTCAGTTCCCCACTACTGTTCTGTAAAGACTGCTTACAAAAAATCTTATATACAACGTGATTTGATTTAAGTATAAAACTCAAGCAAAATTCATATTTTCACATATTTTTACCACACAGCATAGAGTTCCTGCGTAAGTCATAACTCTAGTAGTTGTGTACAGACTTAACTAGTCGCATATGGCAATTCTATAAAAGTTACCAGGCAAAAAAATCAACTTTATTCTATGCAGAGGAGTACTATGCAAGGAATCATTCTTACCTTGAACTGTCAGAGTTGCTGATGCTTCAGCTTTTCCAACCATATTTTCTGCAACACAAGTATACGAGCCCATGTCTCCTGCCATAACTTTCCGGATTTTCAAGGTATGATCATCACGGATTTCGTATCTTTAAATATACATAGTCATAAACAGTGAGTAGGAATAATAGAAATTTACAATTTCTGTAAAAGGTAAAAATATGGTGGGTTTTTGCTCACATTTTTATTCCTACATTTGCCTTAGAAATAACAATGTGTATAAATCCTCATAAATTGATAAAGATAACATTTTAAAAGCAAAACATATATAAATAATTGAAAACCTAACTCTAATTTCTTTTGCAATATGAGTCAGTTTTTCAGATGTCAGTACAATTTCACTGTTGTAAAGCAAACGTAAAGCTGTAACGCATAACTTTTTAATTGTTAGAACAAGTAAATGCAGTAACAGTTATTTTTCTTCCTACAGTTCTTCCATCTGAATGAAGAATCTTTTTAATATGGTTGAAAAGATAGTATTGTTCTCAAGAAGATCAGAATTGCTTGAAAGTCAAGATAAATCTCAATTCATTCAATTTCTTTTGAAAGACCGATGTGGCTTTTTACCATTTCTTCTCCTTTCATCACTTTGTTTCTCCTCTTTGTGTAATGCAGTCAATGCGTTTATGTGTGTTTTTATACTAAAACTGAGTTTTATTGAAGATATAGACTAGATTAACAGGAAGTGGGAATTGGATGGCTGGAGCTAACTGTTACAGGATTTCTTTTTTCAAGCTCCTCCCTTAACAGGTTTTCAACTGACAACTGGGAATTCAAAATAAATATCTGTCTGTCTATCTATATCTATATCTATCTATCTATCTATCTATCTATCTATCTATCATAGAATGTACTTGTTTTAATAAGGTGTTTTACATTTTGGCCTGAATTAGAGCAATGGCAGGGGAAACAAGAGCATGTAAAATCAAGGAGCACCTCCCATATGAAGATAGGCTGAGAAAGTTGGGGCTGTCCAGCCTGGAGAAGAGAAGGCTGCGTGGAGACCTCATAGCAGCCTTCCAGTATCTGAAGGGGGCCTATAGGGATGCTGGGGATGGACTCTTCATTAGGGACTGCAGTGATAGGACAAGGGGTAACGGGTTAAAACTTAAAAGAGGGGAAGTTTAGATTTGATGTAAGGGAGAAGTTCTTTAGTGTGAGGGTGGTGAGGCACTCGAATGGGTTGCCCAGGGAGGTTGTGAATGCTCCATCCCTGGCAGTGTTTAAGGCCAGGTTGGACAGAGCCTTGGGTGACATGGTTTAGTGGGAGGTGTCCCTGCCCATGGCATTGGGGTTGGAACTAAATGATCTTAAGGTCCTTTCCAACTATTCTGTGATCCTATATTACTGGACCACATTTTGTACCAGTTGTGATTCCAATATACATTTCCTGACATTGTAATCTAATTCACTATTTATTATATATTTTCCAAAACTTTCAGTAATTACAAAAGACTCTTCAAGTGACAAATCAATCTGCATCTACAGACTGAACTTCATTGTATTTTGTTATCTTTATCTACATGTTGTTACAGCAAAAGCTTGTAAGTTTCAGTTTAAACTAACTTCAGTAAAGCTCAATGGTAATGAGAAATGTCTTACTAGATGAAGCTAGGCCTTCTCCATTCAAGAAGAAACAAACACTATCTGTCAAATGTTGAATGGCTACACTACATACCAAGCTAGATGCCCTAAAAAAGGTAACTCCATGTACTGCACCTTGCTTTTGGTAATTCCCCATCATCTTTCCTCCATCTTACTGTAGGGACTGGGTCACCTCTTGCCTCACACTTAAACTCAGCACTGTCATCCACAGTTACAGCCAAATTACTTGGTCTCTTCACAAAAGATGGTCTCTCTAGAAGGAAAGGAAAGAAGGGATTAGTCCAGCAGTTCTGAGCCCATACTGCAATTTCTCCTGAACTGTGGCTGCTAGAATAAGGGAAGCAGTGTGATGAATCTGATGGAGGTGCCTCTGCCACTGCTCTTCTCACTCCCAGCGCCAGGCAGAAGATCCATGGCCCTGCAGATGGCCAGCACTACGAACCTCAGTACAGGAGGCAGATGCTCTTAACAGTGGTTCAGAATCCAGGTGCAGACTTCCTTACTTCTTTTGTGTCATTGTCACAACTAATATAGCTAAAGCAAAACACACCCTATACAGAAAATCTAAATACACATCAACCCTCAGGTAGAAGCAGGACTGTTGCAAGGACCCAGACAATGACCACTCATCTGGTACACTGCTTCAAAAAGACTGAAGGCACAAACCAAATGTCTCACTGAAGATTTTGACTCAATTGTGCCTCTAAATTGGAAGGCAAAGTAAGGCCCAGCACAGTATCTCTGCAAGGATGCTTGTGGGTGTCAGCAGCAGGGAGCACTCAATGCGATCATTTCCAATGCTACATTAGAAAGGCAACATTTTCTTTCAACAGCACACATAAGATCAAACAAACCAACAGAAGCCACAATGTCTTCTCTATAACTTTTATTCATAAAAACTGGTATTGTCCCTGGCTTACATTGCAGGACACGGACAACCCAAGTCCTGGTTCACCAGAGTCAGATTAATTGCTACATCCTTTTTCTCAGGCTTTCTGAAACAAAACGGGATCTCAGTGCAGGCTGTGCTATTCTGGGAACCCCACTACTAGATGGAAGTTTCAGGAAAGGGATAGATACATTCTTCCACCTGTAACAGGATTCAAAGCTTTATGGTGCTGGGCTTTTCATAGTTCCACAGCAGGCTGGAGTCCAGTGAGGTTTACACATGCACAGGGGAGATAAGGGTTTAACAATTTCTGGGACACTCCAGGAAGGATTACACACCTAGAAAGGCAGCACCAGATGACAACAGGATATCCGTGAAAGAACTGGGAAGGTTTAACAGGAGAGTGCTTGGCATGTTCCTTTGCCTAAGGCAGATGACCTTTTTTGCCTCTAAACCTGTGAAAGCTCTGAGGGAGTTGAGAAGGCAGTTGCGTGTTTTGACTTCTATGTATTGAAGATATAAATATCACCTTGGAACTGGATGAGTCTAAAGCCACTGGCACAATCAGGAAGTGTGAAAACCAAAAAATACACCACAGATTTCTCATAGAAGTACAAAAAACCACCATACAGAAGGATTAAGAGCCAATCCCATATTATTAATGTTCAAATTGTGTTTGAAAAAGGTGGTTCTGAATATTACTTTGACTTTGCATATAAAGAAACAGAGATTCAGTATCATAAAACTTCAGTGAATGGTTCAAAAAGGACTAGAAGTAGAAATGTGAGCTGAACAAAACCCTGTAAAAGAGCTTCCCTTACTCTCAAGGATGTCCAGACCAGCTGAATGCTCATTTTGTAGAAAACTCACCTTTGCTTGCAATGCTAGCCAAAAAGTGTTAGATGAACTAGCATGTTGATCTTTAAGCTGTCAGTTCTATCCTGGTTTCATAGACAAGGAGGAAGAAATAAACACCTACAGAAATGAATCTAGCTGTGAATTAAAAAACCACAAACACAGGTAGCTCCCCTCACCCCATCTGCTTTCTTGAACATGCAGTAAAAATGTAATCTGAATGCAAGAAAAGGACATTCCAGATTAAACTTTGGAGTAAAACAGCTTGGGGAAAAATATTCAACTTAACTATGCAAGAGAAAAAGGACTGATCTGGTAAGGCCAGGCCTGCTGCACAACAGCAAAACCCACAAGAGATATGCTGTTCGATAAATCAGCTTTCTAAAGGAAAGATCTTTTGTCTGCCCATTCATAACACTTTTATTCAAATCACATATATGAGTAAGGAAAATCAGTATCTATCTTTGTTACATGGTTATTTGGTAAATACAAGGAAGGCTTAGCAAGGATCACTTTGAAACTTTCTAATATTACAGCTTCTGGCATGCAGTCCTCCCTCTGATCTAAAGCAGAGACTTGAAGTTCAACTTCTAAATAACCAAAACCCCATAAACAGATGACTTATATTGAATTTTTTTAATATCAGCATGTTTCTTATGCTCTTTCGTGCATATCTGGGGCCAGAGTTGAAAGAATTAGGTGTAATAAAGATTTCTAGACACAGACTGATAAGACATTCAAAGCTTTACTGTCCTGTTTGGAAAGAAAACCTTACTAGTTCTCCCACGCTGAAATTAAGAAATATTTCTGAAGAGCAAATGAGATGAAGAAAAATGCAAAGACAGACTTCTCTTTGCAATGCATCCCTCTAACAAGTGTTTAGCAAGAGTCATATTTTCCAGCCTGGATTACCTACCAGTCTGTACCATAACCCCCTGGTTAGACTAGCGATGAGCAACTAACTGGTACTGTTAACTAGGAGCTCAGTGCCACGACTTTACTCATGTAACTACGACTTTCTTTCAACTCTAGATTTTGCTTGGAAGTTCTAAAAGTCTGTTTGATAATAAACTTCCTCCTAGAGTGCTTCAAAGGTGTCTGTAAGTTAAAAAAAAAACAACCACCACCCATCAGACAAACAAAAAAACCCCAAACAAAAAAAACCAAAACCTCCACCAAAACCCAATAATGTGGATCATAGGAAGTCTTCCTTAACTTCATCTACACTATCTTGATGAATATTCAGTTTCAACAACTTGAAGATGGCACACAATCTTGTTTTATTATGGAAAACCCATACTTCAAACAAAACTCTGAACAGGACTTTAAGCTGGCTGTAAAAAGTAATGAAGACAGATGAAAGTGTCACAGACTGACAAGAGAAATATTAAACCTGAATTAAAAACAAAGGCAAGAGCCAGGATTATGGCAATAGCATTGTCATGGAAACCAGCATGTTATGAACCATGGCTTGGATACTCTCATCCTGTGAAGAAGACAAAATACTCCTTCTACAGGAACAGTTGAGCTAACTCAAGCCTCCCTTACTTTAAAGTAATACAGGACACGTTTTGAAAACTACCAAGGCTGCATCTATAGCCACCATGAGGCAATTCTCCTGTGTTGAAGGAATTCTGAGACTGCACTTGGTGTTACAGCTTCTTTTCTGCAGTAACAACAAATCCTGCACTTTTCAGCTGTTAACTTAAATGAAAACAGATTTTCTGATATTCAGAGAAACTCATTAGGATCACCTGTACAAGCAGACCTGTTGTATCTTCACAACACCCAGTACACACAGCTATAAACAAAAGGATAATCATTTAAGATAGAAATTGTGATGATTCTGATTTTCTTCATTAAGAGAGGAAAAACATTAAGCCTCTCCTTCATAGTAGTGCTAATTTTTGTTTTGCTAGTATTTTAAAATATTGATCCAGATAGTGGACACTGGGATTATTTTCAGTTTCAGTAATAGGAAAGTATCTTCCAATAGCAAAACCAGTCCAAGGTGGATTGCAAAGCCATTAAGTGCCAATCATTTGCTAGAACACAACCATGACAAAAAACATTTGCAACACTAAAAAGGAAACAGATGAGAATGATCATTAATAGAAAGCTTAGGAAAACCGTAAGATGGACATTTTCATCAACAAAGTCTTAAAGGAGTTCTTACCTAAAACAGTGAGCTCCGCAACTTCACTTTCACGTTCTCCAACCATATTTGTTCCAACACAAACATATTTGCCAGCGTCATTCTTTCTTGTGTATGTGATCATAAGCTTTCCTCCTCTGATCTAGGACAAATCAAGGATAATAAAAATAATATAAACTATTGATTTAATATTTGTTAACTTGAAAGAGATTTTGTATCAGACAATGAATCAGAACAAGCTATCAGTGACTTTCTAAATCATACAACAAACTGAATCCCCCTCCCAAAACCTATTAACCTAATTTCCTTCTCCTTGCAAAAACCTTGCCTCTAAGTTTTACATCAGTATTTTAAAGTCTCTCAGATTTGGACCCCTATTACTCTACTCTTCACTCTGCATAAAATAAGACTGACTGTTCAACAGCCTGTTTAATGCTTGTTGGCGAGAAAGTCTGCAATTCCTTCCTATGTACTACGGCAGTTTGATATAATCAGGTGGAGAGTAAAAATTAGCACTAGACATCAATTCCATTTTCACATCAAGTGCTGTGATTACTTTTTTTGACAAGAAAGATGTGCATGTTATCCTACTGCTGGTAATGCTCCTTAGTATTCATAAGTTTTGTGTTTGCTTTGGTTTTCTCAGGGAAGTGAAGGAAATCTTTTATTCTTTAGTTCTTCACCTATAACTAAGGAATTTTAAAGGCTGATAAGCAGCTGGGCAGAAGCAATTAAATCCTTAGTGGCAAATGAATAACATTCTGCTTTTAATTCTGGACTCAGTTCTTGAAAGATAATAGAATTCCAATAATGCAAGAATTAGAAAGCATCCTTCCCTTTTGTGATTTTAAATCTTATTATATCAAAATACATATTAAATGCATATAGAAATTGCTGTTCTCCTTTGAAAAGTATTTATTCTCCCATTTGATTGACAAAACGGTTGAACAAGTTTTAACGTTCACCAAACCGCAGCAAAATTTGTGTAGGCAACTTGAATACAAACCATGTTTAATACACAAAAATGTTACTTAATTACATTAATTACATTTTTAAGTGAACATATGCTTATGAGTCCAATCACATATGAAAACCACCGCAGTTCAAGGAATGGGTGGAAGCACACAATAAATAAAGCCACATATGAAGCTACAGGAAAGGGTCTAATGTGGTCAGTGACAAGGAGGAGTGTTCTCAATATGAGGTATTTTGCTTCAGTTGCCTGCAGCTAGAAATCTGTCCCTGAAAATCTGACATCTTGAGCAGTGTTGGGCTCTTATTATCATTGTAAGATGTACGGATACAGAGACGACAGTCAGTTATTGAGATAAATGAACATGCACGTGTAACAAAGATAGTGTTGCATACAGATTTCATTCTGTTTCCTTTGGCATTCGTCGTTTGAGAACAGGAAAGGTATGTCCTTTATCATACAGAAATCTAGTAATGCTGAAATTCCAATGGGCATTTGAGGCACGAAGAATGAAAAAACAAAGGTGACCTGCAAATACAAATTTCTTCAAGAATATGTGTGCATTTTTAGATTGCTTACCATCTGAACTCATGGTATACATGAGAAGAGACTCTCAAATATAACTAGAAGTCTATCTATACTAAGTCCTGTTTTACATCTCCCTTTATCACAGAAAGCTATTTGTTTCCAGTTAATCTATGCAAAGGCTTTTAAAAAAAACAAACAAATTTTAGAAAGATTTCCAAATGCATTTTAGGGTATTTATATAACCAGGTACATACACAGAAATACATACTTTTCATGTGTATCAATACTGAATGCGCTGGATTTAGCACATAAATATATATATCACAAGAATTTTCCAACTCAGTTGATGATGATTTCAAACCTATGTAAACTGAAAGCAGTGATTTTCATATGCATCTTAAGAGCATAAGTCCTACTGATGTATGCATTTGTGCTCCTTAGTGATTTTACATTTCAGAAAACTCCATCCAAATCCATTTCAATATGACACAACTGTCTATTTTCCACAAACTGTAACCTCCAGCAAGAACTATCCTAGGATTTTCTTCTAGGAATCAACACAAGACTCTCTACAAAGCATAGATGTAGAAGCATTAAAACAGAAACACTTGAACAGCTGAAAAAAATCACTGAAAACTGCTTTTCTCCCAAGTTATTTGAGATTTAGGTAAGGAAGGAGAAGCAGAGCAAACATTCCCTCATGGACGTTGAGGTAGACTTCCAAAGATGTAACATGCCTGCTGAAGGAAGCTGTGTTTTCAAGACGGAATTCTGAGAGTATTTAGTTAATTTTTCCTAGGTTTTTTCCTTTGTTGATCTTTTCTGTTTGTTTGTTCCTAAAACAGAAGAAGGGTTTAGAACTTCAGCTACAATGACAGCTATTAATCACATAAAACTGTGATTAATTACACAGTTACAATAAAATGTACCTCAAGTGCATGTGGAATGACGTATGTCTGTAACTAGAGCATTCACAGATGGCTAGAAGAAAGCGTATTTCCACTGTTGGGTCACTACCCAGGTTTTCCATCAAATTTTAACAATAAGATACCCATGAACTCAGTAAGATTGATCAAGCCCTTCTATTTACTAATAAACCATTGCAAATGAAATGTGTAGCTATGAGAAATTTATGTTCCCTATGTGCAGCATTAGCTACTTTTTCTCTTGCTAGGAAATCCTATAAATACTTGTGGACTGTAGACCACTAGGTTTAAGTAACAAAGTACACAATAAAATACATGCACATGAATTTTTGTAGGACTACGTACAGAACCACTGCTACATTTCTTTGTCTTCCTAACTTCATATCCACTACATCCAGTACTGTAAGCTCATACCCAGCATTTAGAGAAGTAGAGCCAAATCACCTTTGGGGGCAGTATCTGAAACCTTGAAAATTAGACCTATTTATGAAGTGTAGACATTCAATACTTAGTTCATAGAGGCATTTTAATTGAATGCTTTGGCTCTTTTTGTATTTGTCCCCCTTCCCCAGAATGTTCCAGCTGGACTTTACAGTCGCAAATGATATAATGGTTTGAATTAGAGACAAGCAGTGTAACATTTCATCTCAAACCTCCAGAAGAGTTTTTACCATACTGAATACAAAGAGAAATCCTTTCTTCTAGTAAAAAAAAAAAGATACCACAAACAGTTTTATTATACTACTTTGGTAGACGCTGAATATCATGGGAAAATAATTATTCTGCTAACTGCCAAGGCTTTAAGGCCAGTTTTGAAATGCTGGAAGTAAGTGTTATGTTTCATTTATACGGAAATGATGCCAAGGCCCTTTCTGACTTCTCACACCTCTTCAGGATTTTGTTCTGTTCTGTGCCTTCCAGCAAATTTATCAGAGCTCTGCAAGTAGAGAACACAAGAACAGCACTGAATACTGATGAGAAGATTGTGATCAGCGGTTCGCAGATGATCTTCAGTTGCCTGTAACATGTATGGATTGTTGCATGAATGTTAAGAGAATATATGATAGCACGGTGACTTACAAAGACGAAAGCTATTTTCTATGACCTGCCCGCCTGACCACATTTTGCTCCTCATGAGTAAATGGCTCATTCAAGCAAGTCCACTTCATTTATTTCTTTAAACAATAGCTGGAGATGTTCACACAGAAAACTTGAGGCACCCACAGAGTTAACTAGGTCCAGAATTTAAATTATGGCCACCCAGCAGCAAAAAATCATATACAAATAATGAATCAACTCCGCCAGCCAATAAATCAAATCCATAAAAACTTACCCAAGGGTTCTACAACATACCACCAACTACTCAGTATAGCTGTACACACACGTATATACACTTATTCTAAGACCATATTTTATATACCTATGCGTGCTGTGTGTGTAAATTTCTGTATGTATAAATCCATACCCATCTGTCTCTGTTATATATGCGGGTGATTCATTTAGTTTTCATAGAAATGTGCTATGAAATACGAGGAAGAATGAAGCCATGAGAGAAATTCTTGGGAAGTCCAAATATAAAAGTGACTGGCATTTTTTTTTCCATTTTTGACATTCTATTTAATAAATGAAATCTGTTCTGTTGAAAAATAATTCTAACCCAAACTTAAATCCATAAGAAAATTAACTTCAGACTGCACAGTGAAATAGTGACCTCTGTTTGGATAGCCAGGGTTTCTGCTTATGTGAGATCACACATTTCACATATTTCAGTCTTCTACAGTATAGCATACATATACCCCATTTTGTTAAAATGAAATGCGACAGGCATGTGATATTAACCTGTCAGACATAGTCTTTGCTTTAAAAGTGTACCATCTAAATATAATGACAATAAATCAGGTAATGAACCAGGTGAGTACAGGCAATTACAATTAACAGTGTCATCAGTAACTATACAAGTAAAAAGGAGCTTTTATTCCTTAGTTAGGAAACAGTTTTTGCTCAGTTTCCTCTAGGCAGTCTAGCACCCTAAAACTGGTTAGTATATCCATATTCCGACTCATTACTGCAGCACAGACTGCAAGGCATGGAACATCAGCAATAGAGGGAAACCTTGCAGCTTTAACAAAATTGCGTAAAAAGAGTATAAACGAATATCTATCTCAAATTTATATTTAAAAATATCTTGTTCCAAGTCTTGTGAATCCCATGTATTCTTCCCTACCTATTATTGCAATGTTTAAATATCAGATACTAGAGATCAAAATGTGTTTGGAATAGGTCTTCAACAATGATTAAAGTTTGTTCTTGTTCAGCTTCAAAGTTCAGACAGGGGAGTCTGTCCTGCTTTTGGTTCCATTCTCTGGGACCCCAGGAAGGTACTTGCTGCCTCCTCCACATCAAACATGCAAAAATTCTATTTGAAAGTAGCTTAAAACACACTTTCAAGTGGCCTTCCTGCGCTGTAAATCTGTCATGACAAAGTGCAAGTCAATTGTTACCCCCTACCATACAGACCAACAAAACAGTCTTGCAATGATGACAGGCCTGAAGGTAGAATCTACAAAGTATGGTGCAAAATGCACGGGATGATAGCTTTACTTAAAAGGAAAGAGCATTTACGGCAGATAAAATGACAATAGGTTCAAGCTGCTGCTTCTGGCACCCCTGCCAGTCTGGCCAGGATACATCAGAGTCAGAATCTCATTCAAGTCC